CTTTTGTTATTGTTCCAGTTTTGTTTGTTCCATCTGTTATTGCTAGAGTTTATATCGGCCGTAAGTTGTAAGTGTTATTTTTCTCCCATCTTTAACGGTTTAGATAGGTAGATAGATAAATTTACTAACCATTCAAATATGTTTCAGAAACTAGAAACAAAAATCAAATCAAATAAAAACTGATGGCCTGTCCTTGGATCAAGCAATGATTTTTGGATTGTGTTTTTCGACTGGTTCCTTACCCAGCCAAATCCTACATCATTCTGTTACGATCTTTGAAGAGGATAAGAGAAACTCACTTTTACTAGAAAAGAAAAGAAACATCTATAACTTACTTACCAGAAGACACATACATTGTTGAGAGGCTTTTAAAGAGCTTTCTGAATTGCCATTTTTGGAAAGAAACTATTATATCTTGGGATGAAGGACCCTTGCTTATTGTTGAGACTTCTTGATTCATGATTTGTATGTAAATAGTTTGCTTTTAATAATTTATCAGCGTTGACAATATATGTAAGCTCCATTACTTGATTTGTCTAGCCATTTTTGGCCTGGCCAAAATACCAATTTTAGTCCTTGTGCATCCTGGAAGACAGTAATCTCAGTAGAACAAAACTTCAATGAAAAAAATTAAGGAGGGAATGAGAGAATCATGACATAATCTCTCTACATTTTCATCTCCGTGTGTGCCTTCCGCTCATGTACAAGTAACAAAGTTCAAATTGAGGAAGTAGATCTCTTCCTCCCACCATCTATTATAAACCATGAATCTGGTTTTCTTGCTTTCTTTGGGTTTTCTTTTTGTGGGTCGTGTTACATTCTTTTGTATGGAATAGCACTTGCTTTTTTTAAATATTGATCAATTTGGATTTCATCTTTGTATCTAATGAGTTGGGGTCTTCTATTGTTTTGTGCTTTTTTGTTTTTTATGTTAACTACCATATTCAATGGGTCTGAATCAAACTATAGTCAGTGCATTTTTCTTCATATCAGGACTTCAAATGATTCCTGCATACATACCATGTGAACTTTAACTACCGCCTATCCAAACCGGCCCCTAGAGGCTTAGGGCATGACCGGCCAGTAATTCCAGATTCCCTCTGGCCTTAATAACAAAATCATATCATTATATATAATTGGGGGATTGCGAAAGCAATTAACAAAATATAATTAAGTTCATTGAGCAGTGCTTACATGATAACTTCATAATGGATCAAGTCATTCATTATACCATAATATAATATTTACAATCAAACTTCAACTTCAACTTCAACTTGATACATATAACTTGTTCCATAATACACAAGCATCAAAAACCAAACAAAAGACTTCATAAAAGGGTTAACAAAAGCTTGGCTTCTCAAGAGACCAAGTAACACCCCATCACGGAGGCACACTAAACAGCTTCACAAGGGTAGACTCCTGAGGCACCTCTAGATTTGTCGTTCCACTTGCTCACCTACATATATATAAGGGAGAGTGGTGAGCTGGAGCCCAGTGAGTAATATCAATATAAAGGGTTTGATGAATGAAGGCCAATATATCTTGAAACATATTGTTTCGATAATCAAAACAATTCAAATCACATTCATATTAATGCTTTGCGATAACAATAACCATTCAAAATCATAATACGTGGTAACATCCATTAGAGTAACAATATGAGAATGTGTTGAAGTCATTAGGACCACATGGGTCAATTCAATAGAACCGCAACGGGGTCCATCAATAAACCTCAATGGGTAATTCAATGTGGGTGACAAAGGTCTAACATCAGAGATCTATGTGTTTCAATTAATTCAATGGGCCATGGTATTAATGAGCAGCCAGTATCGGACTCCACTTGCGTACCGAAGGTCAAGGACACTGGCGGCTAGTGAATATAAGCATAGCTACTGTTGTCGTACACCTTTTAAGGCGGCGTATATTCATAGACGGTACGTTTAGAATATTCACCGATATATTAAGAAGACTAAGATGGGAGTAAGGAAGTTGCACCTGTATGATGAATAATTAAGGGACGTTCAATTTGATAATAAGATGTGGCGAGATTGCTTTATGGTATTGAGTTGGGTAATAAAGGATGTTACCGTCAATCAGACAATCGTAGTTAAGGGTATAAAATTAATTGGGAATGTTCAATTGGGACAAGATGCTAAAGAAGAAGTTGTGGTCCACCACGTATTGTTTTTCGTCATAAGTGATACGATTACAAGTTCAAAAAGGATCTTCATTCATAGATAGCAAAATAAGATTTCAAATAACATTCTTGACTAATTCAAAATACTGTTTGAACATAGCTTTATGAAGACATTGCTCACAGTGGGTTTGTACCGATATAAGCTTCGGGCGACCACCTACACAAAACACATAATAAAGGCACACATTGAAACACATTGTCTTAAACAATTATTGTATCTTAATTCAATTCCCTTATATGTGGTCCTAATTATTCTCTTCCCTGATGATGCTTAAACAATGCCCAAGAATGCCTAGAGGTGTATGAGAATGGAAATATGCACTTAAAAGCATTTTTCGAAAGTTGTTGAAACAAGGCAGCTTGCTCGAGCGCACTGTTGGTCGCTCGAGTAGACCACTTGGTCTGCAAAAGTTCTAGTTGGTGGAAATGTAGGCTTGATGATCGCTTCAGGCAAGTGGTGTGAAACGTAAGTTCGCTCGAGCTTTAATTTCGTCGCTCGAGCCAAGTGCAACGTGTCTGTAAAGATACTGGATGCATGTTAAGTGTGCTCGAGCAACTACTTCATCGCTCGAGCGAAGTGGCCAAATTTTGAAATTTCCAGAACATAATTGAAGTTCAAAAGCATGAATTTAAGTTGCATAACTTGCATGGCTGGTCCCAAAAGCATCAAAACTCTTTGGAAAACATATAAATACAACTTATTTGAATTCGCAAGTGCAAAACCTTTGTCAGTTCTCAAAATTAAACTCAAAACCTTGTAATTCTACCATGCATGGATGAAATTCAAATCTTTTCTTACAAAATATGAACATATGAATTGATGAGTGAAAAATTATGGAGAATCCTCTACGATGTCAAGTACAAACTCCATGCATGTATGAATTGTTGGAAATCATGCTTGAAGATTATGAATTGTGCATGCATCTTCTCAATTGACTCATTTCTTCCATTTTCCTATCAATTACATGAAGATTACTCTTATTATTACATGAATTCAACTCCCACGTGAATTATCTACAAGAGTGATGATTGTAATTCAAACCTAGAGCTTGTAATTGAAGGTTGGTAGCTTAATTCTCTCAAATCCCTTCTTAATTCTTCACAATTCTTCTTCTTCTCTCTCTAAAGGAGTTGCTCTCTCCCTCTCTCTACAATTTCAGCCAAATATGTTGAAGTAATGGATCCTAAACATGCTTATAACATATATAGAGGCTAGGTTAGATTAGGCTAGTTAAGTAGGATTAAGGCTACTTAATCTAACTTAAGTTTAATTAATCCTATTCAATTCGAATTGATTTATTCTAATTAATTGTCTGAATCAAATTTTAATGAAACATACCATATGATTCTAAATATTTTAATTAGCCTATTGAACTAGTTAATTTTGGTTTCTGAGTTCGCTAAGGCCTTCAATTTCAGATTCGAAGTAAGCATTCAAACAGATATTCCATAAATGAACAAATAAACACAAGATGAAACACATAATCATGCAAATATTCTCAAATAAATAGTATGCGAAAAAATGATATGCATGCTGGGGTCGTCACAACCTAGCTCTGATTTTCTCCTATTTTCTTCGTCAAAGAACAAATGAAGTAATACAGATGCATAGCTTAACCATATAAACTTTCATTCTTTTTGTCCGACTACTAAAGAAAATATGTTAGTGAAACTTAGTAAACTAAATTATTGATCATATTATTGTTAAATATCATTTTCATTAGTTCAACTTAAAATGATGACTGTTTTAATCGTTTAATGCAGAAAATGGCTTCATTTGGTTATATTTTATTTGAATTATAAGTTGTAATACCTATTTAATTATGAATTCACTACAATTTTGCCTACATATTAGAATTATACTTTTTAACAATGTATTTTGTATATTTCTCAAATTAAGCCCATTGATTTGTCCAACTTATGCCGGCATTCAATTGCATGCCTTGCATGCAGCCAGCTTGATTAGTATTGATCTAAGTATAAATACTTGGCATAATCTATCTAATGTTGACCAAATTCTTGTAACAGGTACAAACTGCAAATGGAGCAGCATGCGATGGCAATGGAGGCAATAAAACAGTAGGGTGTACTTTTTTTTCTTCTTCTCAATATGAATATTATATTTTATATTGATTTTAGATTGCATATGATATTTATGGTTGATGTAATGATTCTACTTTGTGTAAAGTTGGCCTTCTAGTTATGTTAAATTTGTTAAAGACACTTTATATTTTCCCAACAATGATGTGTAATCTTTTGGGCCATAGACTGGATGCATTGTGATTTGTGTGCTTCTTGATCTCCCCGGTGTCCCCTTAAAAAGGCTCTAGTATTAATGTCTAGTGCAATACTTGGTGTAACTTTTGATATAGCATTAGAAGCAAGATGTGTTGATGGATCGACTCATTTATGTTACGATAATACTGTCTAGTGCAATACTTGGTGTAACTTTTGATATAGCATTAAAAGCAAGATGTGTTGATGGAGCGACTCATTTATTTCTGCGCCCCCCCTTCTGATCTCTCTCTTTCTTGAGCCTTCAATTGAGATTAGGTGGTGGGGTGGTCTAGATCATGATGACGTTTCAGCATATTGAAAAGTTTTATTGTGGTACTCCGTGGAGCATATTGAAAAGTTTCAGCATACTTGATGTATTTTGTATATTTCTCAAATTAAACCCATTGATTTGTCCAACTCATAACGGCATTCAATTGCATGCCTTTCACGCAGCCTGCTTGACTAGTATTGATCTACGTATAAATACTTGGCATAATCTAGCTAATGTTGACCAAATTCTTGCAACAGGTTCACCCAGGAAATTCAGAATTGGGAAACGAAAAGGTAGGGTGTACTTTTTTTTTCTTTTCTTTTTCTTTCTCAATATGAATATTAGTTTGTATTGATTTTAGATTGCATATGATATTCATGGTTGATGTAATTATGCTACTCTCTGTAAAGTTGTCCTTGTTATATTCTTTAGCCTAAAGTTAAATTTGTTAAAAGACACTTTATATTTTCCCAACAATGATGTGTAATCTTTTGGGCCATAGAGTGGATGCATTGTGATTCGTGTGCTGCTTGATCTCCCTGTTGTCCCCTTTAAAAGCTCTAGTATTAATGTCTAGTGCAATACTTGGTGAAACTTTCGATATAGCATTAGAAGCAAGATGTGTTGATGGATAAACTCATTTATGTCCATAGTTATCAAAATCCCGATCCGGATTGTAGGATCTTATGATTCTGCGATTTCAATTGGGCCAAACAATCCAAATCACACTAGGATGTTAAAGTTACTACGATCATATTCATAAAATCGTGTAGAATCGCATACGATCCCAATTCTACTACGATCCCGATCTTGACAATTTTTTTTGTTATTATTTATTTCTTGTATATATGCATGTATATGTGTATATCTATATAAAAAATTTGACTATAAACACTTTTTTCAAATGTCTCTTCTAATTGATGTTAATATAAAAGATGTATTATATCAAATTTATCATTTTTCTTAAATCTTTTTAAAATTACGTAACATATATTATCATTATCAATAATTTTTCATTTTATTTTACATTGAAAGTAGAATCTTATGATACTCGATCCGATTTTACGATCCGATCCACGAGTTCCTTCCAACGATCCCATGTAAGATCCTAATTTTAACCTTGTTTTTGTCCCCCATAATATAGGTTTTTTTTTTTTCCTTCTGCTCTCTCTCTTTCTTGAGCCTTCGATTGAGATTTGGTGGGGTGGTCTAGATCATGATGACGTTTCAGCATATTGAAAAGTTTTATTGTGGTATTCACAGTGTATCTTAAGCTTTAGCATGTGTTTGAAATAATTTCCAAAGAACCTAAGTTTTGGGATTGTACCATTGGGGGTGGTTTCAAAATTATAGGGCCATGGTTGTTCTCCCTCCTACAGCTGATCAATGAACCAACCTACATGAGCTCGATTCGTGCTCTACTCGTCAAAATCTTGTTTAAAGCTGAGCTTGGATAACCTACTACTCGGATCGAAAAGTTTGTATGCACTATGAAAAATCAAATTTAATTGTGTATGTCACGTTACTTGTGCTATTGGTGTTTAATCACTTGCAAAAGCAATTCACATTTGTTTGTAAATATATGGTGTTATCAATATTTGTACTGATGCTGTTTCTTGGCCTTGTTTGATGTGTTTTCTTTCAGCAAGAGTAACAGTGCAAATACTGTTTGTCGAGATGCGGCTGGTTGAAAGGATGGAATTTAGAGCATGCAGTACACTTTCATTCCCGTCTGAATGAAAATACATTATAAGTTATCACAAAATAGTGATGCATTTTATATCAACATTAGTTGTAATCTAACGTATTAACTGTCGTGATACATTACTTCAATGTATGTTTGGTAAATATAGACTCTTGTTGGTGCGTTCGGATCCTCTAGAGTGATATGCATGAAGTGATTGTGAAGTGAAATGATGAAGGGGCGACACGTGTCTCACTTAAGGGGTGAATGACATATTTTTCTTTTATTAAAATGATGTCGTTTTGGTGAAGGAAAACAAAATATTCACAAACGAAGAAACCTTATTCTTCTCTCTCTCTCTCTCTCTCTCTCTCTCTCTCTCTCTCTCAGACCAAGTATCGCCCCATCGTGGAGGCACTTCAGGAATGGCTTCAAAAAAAATAGACTCCTGAGGCATCTCTAAACTTGACGATCCAGATGCTCACAGGGGAAGAGGTGAGCTAGAGCCCAGCGAGTAATATCAAAATAAAGATGTTAAATGAATAAAGTCCGATACAATACAAATCGAACAATTGTTATATCGAAAGTCCATTAATCAAACATCATACGTGGTACATCCAATAGAGCAAAGCAAAGGGCCCAATTAGGCCTAAATCAAAGGGACCATCTATGTCTAAGCAAAAAGACCATGAAGGCCTATCGAAGGGACCGTAAAGGTCTAACAACGGGACCACTTGGGTCTAACATCAAAGATCTCTATTAAACCAATAATCGAAGGGCCATGGTATTGTTTCCCCTAGGCAAGGGTCTTACTAAAGGATGCCACAAATACTTGTCAAATAGGACATTCATTCATTCATATAAAATAACATTTCAAAAACATCATACTTGAAACAATTTAAAATACATTTCAAACATAACTTTATAGAGATACTACTCACAATGGGCTTGAACTGGTATTGAGCTTTGGGTGACCAACCTACACAAAGCGCATAACAATACACATTGAAACACATTGACTAAACAAGCATTATATCTTAATTCAATTTCCTTTAATGTGTTTCTTGCTTATTCCATCTTTAATAATGTCTTAAACATACCAATGTTTAAGAATGCCTAAAAGAGCATGAGAATGGAAGTATGTACTTGAAAGTGTTTTTCAAAAGTTACTAAAACAGGGCAGTTTGCTTGAGCACACATTTGGTAGCTTGAGTAGTCTGCTTAGTCTGCAAAAGTTCTAGATGCTCAAAATCTAGGCTTGATTATTGCTCGAGCCAAGTGCAAGGAAAGTTGAGTTCAATCAAGTGGACTTTTGGTCGCTCGAGCGATGTGTCATGCCTCTGCAAAAATACTAGATGCTCGCTAAGTACGCTCGAGCGATGTCTTCATCGCTTGAGCGATGAGATTGAATTTGGGGTTTTCCAGAACAGAATTTAAGTTCCAAAACATGAATTCAAGTTTGAAAAGCTTGCATGGCTAGACCAAAAACATGAATACTCTTTGGAAAACATATAAACAAAACCAATTTGAAACCATAAGTTCAAAACCTTTGTCAATTCTCAAAATTAAACTCAAAACCTTGTAATTCTACCATGCATGGATGAAATTCAAATCTTTTCTTTCAAAATATGAACATATGAATTGATGAGTGAAAAATTATGGAGAATCCTCTACGATGTCAAGTACAAACTCCATGCATGTATGAATTGTTGGAAATCATGCTTGAAGATTATGAATTGTGCATGCATCTTCTCAATTGACTCATTTCTTCCATTTTCCTATCAATTACATGAAGATTACTCTCATTATTACATGAATTCAACTCCCACGTGAATTATCTACAAGAGTGATGATTGTAATTCAAACCTAGAGCTTGTAATTGAAGGTTGGTAGCTTAATTATCTCAAATCCCTTCTTAATTCTTCACAATTCTTCTTCTTCTTTCTGTAAAGGAGTTGCTCTCTCCCTCTCTCTACAATTTCAGCCAAATATGTTGAAGTAATGAATCCTAAACATGCTTATAACATATATAGAGGCTAGGTTAGATTAGGCTAGTTAAGTAGGATTAAGGCTACTTAATCTAACTTAAGTTTAATTAATCCTATTCAATTCGAATTGATTTATTCTAATTAATTGTCTGAATCAAATTTTAATGAAACATACCATATGATTCTAAATATTTTAATTAGCCTATTGAACTAGTTAATTTTGGTTTCTGAGTTCGCTAAGGCCTTCAATTTCAGATTCGAAGTAAGCATTCAAACAGATATTCCATAAATGAACAAATAAACACAAGATGAAACACATAATCATGCAAATATTCTCAAATAAATAGTATGCGAAAAAATGATATGCATGCTGGGGTCGTCACAACCTAGCTCTGATTTTCTCCTATTTTCTTCGTCAAAGAACAAATGAAGTAATACAGATGCATAGCTTAACCATATAAACTTTCATTCTTTTTGTCCGACTACTAAAGAAAATATGTTAGTGAAACTTAGTAAACTAAATTATTGATCATATTATTGTTAAATATCATTTTCATTAGTTCAACTTAAAATGATGATTGTTTTAATCGTTTAATGCAGAAAATGGCTTCATTTGGTTATATTTTATTGGAATTATAAGTTGTAATACCTATTTAATTATGAATTCACTACAATTTTGCCTACATATTAGAATTATACTTTTTAACAATGTATTTTGTATATTTCTCAAATTAAGCCCATTGATTTGTCCAACTTATGCCGGCATTCAATTGCATGCCTTGCATGCAGCCAGCTTGACTAGTATTGATCTAAGTATAAATACTTGGCATAATCTATCTAATGTTGACCAAATTCTTGCAACAGGTACAACCTGCAAATTGAGCAGCATGCGATGGCAATGGAGGAAAGGGAGGCAATAAAACGGTAGGGTGTGCTTTTTTTTTCTTCTTCTCAATATGAATATTATATTTTATATTGATTTTAGATTGCATATGATATTTATGGTTGATGTAATGATTCTACTCTCTGTAAAGTTGTTGGCCTTCTAGTTATGTTATTTAGACTAAAGTTAATTTTGTTAAAGACACTTTATATTTTCCCAACAATGGAATGTAATCTTTTGGGCCATAGACTAGATGCATTGTGATTCGTGTGCTTCCCCTTAAAAAGGCTCTGGTATTAATGTCTAGTACAATACTTGGTGTAACTTTTGATATAGCATTAAAAGCAAGATGTGTTGATGGATCGACTCATTTATGTTACCATAATACTGTCTAGTGCAATACTTGGTGTAACTTTTGATATAGCATTAAAAGCAAGATGTGTTGATGGAGCGACTCATTTATATTTTATTCCTTGTGCATCCTGGAAAACAATAGTCGCAGTAGAACAAAACTTCAATGCAAAAGATTAAGAGCATTGAAATCAAATGGGAAAGAGGACAGAAAGATGGCAATGAGAGAATCATGATATAATCTCTCTACATATTCATTTCCTTGTGCCTTCTGCTCATGTAGAAGTAAAAAAGTTCAAATAGAGGAAGTTGCTTTTGTATGGAATAGCACTTGCTTTTTTCTAATATCAATCAATTTGGATTTCATCTTTGTATTTAATGGGTTGGGATCTTCTACTGATTTGATCCTTTTTTCTTTTCCTTTTTTATTAACTAGCATATTAAATGGTCTGAAGCAAACTGTAGTCAGTGCATTTTTCTTGATATCAGGACTTCAAATGATTCCTGCTTACATACCATGTGAACTTTAACTGAAGAAATGTAGATGCATGGTTTAACCATATAAACCTTCATTCTTTTTGTCCAACTACTAAAGAAAATATGTTAGTGAAACTTAGTAACATAAATTATTGTTCATGTTATTGTTAAATATTATTTCATTAGTTCAACTTAAAATGATAACTGATTTAATCGTTTAATGCAGAAAATGGCTTCATTTGGTTTTATTCTATTTGAATTACATAAACTGTAATACCTATTTAATTATCAATTCACTACAATTTTGCCTACAAATTAGAAATATATGTTTTAACAATGTACTTTGTATATTTCTCAAATTAAACCCATTGATTTGTCCAACTTATAATGACATTCAATTGCGTGTAGGGTGTGCGTTTTTTTCCTTTTTCTTTCAATATGAATATTACCTTGTATTTTGAATTGATTTTAGATTGCATATGATATTTATGGTTGATGTAATGATTTTACTCTGTTTCTTGTCATATTAGTTAACCTAAAGTTAAATTTGTTAACGACACTAATTTTTTCCCAACAATGGTAGTAATCTTTTGGGCCATAGACTGGATTCATTGTGATTTGTGTTCTTCTTGATCTCCCCATTGTCCCCTTAAAAAGCTCTAGGATTGATGTCTAGTGCAATACTTGGTGTAACTTGCGATATAGAAGCAAGATGTGTTGATGGATCGACTCATTTATGTTCCCATAATATAGTCTTTTTTTCCCCTTCTGCTCTCTCTTTCTTTCTTGAGCCTTCAATTGAGATTTGGTGGGGTGGTCTAGATCATGATGACGTTTCAGCATATTGAAAAGTTTTATTGTGGTATTCACAGTGTATCTTAAGCTTGAGCATGTGTTTGAAATAATTTCCAAAGAACCTAAGTTTTGGGATTGTACCATTGGGGGTGGTTTCAAAATTATAGGGCTGTGGTTGTTCTCCCTCCTACAGCTGATCAATGAACCAAGCTACATGAGCTCGATTCGTGCTCTGCTCGTCAAAATCTTGTTTAAAGCTGAGCTTGGATAACCTACTACTCGGATCGAAAAGTTTGTATGCACTATGAAAAATCAAATTTAATTGTGTGTCACGTTACTTGTGCTATTGGTGTTTAATCACTTGCAAAAGCAATTCACATTTGTTTATAAATATATGGTGTTATCAATATTTGTACTGATGCTGTTTCTTGGCCTTGTTTGATGTGTTTTCTTTCAGCAAGAGTAACAGTGCAAATACTGTTTGTCGAGATGCGGCTGGTTTAAAGGATGGAATTTAGAGCATGCAGTACTCTTTCATTCCCGTCTGAATGAAAATACATTATAAGTTATCAAAAAATAGTGATGCATATTATATCAATGTTAGTTGTAATCTAACGTATTAACTGTCATTATACATTACTTCAATGTATGTTTGGTAAATATAGACTCTTGTTGGTGTGTTCGGATCCTATAGAGTGATATGCATGAAGTGATTGTGAAGTGAAATGATGAAGAGGCGACACGTGTCTCACTTAAGGGGTGAATGACATATTTTTCTTTTATTAAAATGATGTCATTTTGGTGAAAGAAAACAAAATATTCTCAAACGAAGAAACCTTATTCTTCTCTCTCTCTCTCTCCAGCCCCTTTCCAAATGGAATGCAACTTCTTTTCTTTCTTGTTTTTTTGGTTTTTTGGTTTTTTGTTTTTGTTTTAAAGTTAAATCTTGTTTTATTTTTTGACTAATAATTTTTTTTACATCAAACACACTTTACTCCTGGTTTTTGCGTTTTTATTTATTAAAACAGTGGTGACTCTCCTTCCGGTTGACTGCCACTTTTCTTCTCCTAGCCTTATTTGTTGTTTGCTAATATCTTTTTTCTGAATTGCAAAGCCAAAATTATACAACAAAATGAGATTTAGTGCATGAGAAGAAAGGGATTCTCAGGTATGTCGGTGTATTCGCTGCTTGAGCCTATTGAACTTCCTGTGTTGTCTTCTTCATTTTACAATTGTTATTGCAGCAAAATTTTCTTCTGTATCAAATACGAAACTTGTCAAATATGGAGGCTTCATAGTGGGTTCTGTCATTGTTATGGAATTGCCTTTGCATTGCCTGAGCATTCTCAGATTACAATAGTGCATGAAATAATGTACCACGAATGAGTCAAACTGATTTCACTGTTCTTAATGAGACTTCTATTGTTATTATTCGGTTCTCCCTTAATGGCTAATTTACTTGTATTGTATAAAGCTTTTACTACTATTATTAAAGGGACATGTTTTAGTGATACAAAATTATCAATAGCCTCCCCCATGTTCATATATTAGGGTTAACTTGTACTTAAAGCACTTTGAGTAATTTTTTTTAGTATCACGCACTCTGTAAGAATTAATTTAAATAAATCAATAATTTTATTGCGCTACAGTACTCAATTGTAATAAATCAATCCAAAATGACAATAATTTTACCGTAATATAAAACTTTACACGTAAGATGCTTTTTAGTAAACTTCATAATTAAAGTTTAAACCGCAAATTTTAGAAATAAAAATGTTACTGTGTTTAGCAGAAGCAAAGATAGAATAATGTTATATGCACAAATTGATATACCAATTAGTGTATTAACAGATGATGTGACATAATTTTAAAAGTTTTGAGTCTTTGTAATTTGTATAATGGGTGGGTCATAATTTTGAAGTAATAATGTCATAGCATATATTAGTACACTAATTGGTATACCAATTGATGCGTGTAGCACTACTGGCAAATATATTCACGTTAAAATGGCACAAGCAAAGATATCCCAGTTAAAATGGCACATATATGGGATAACTTTAAAAAAAAATTTGTTTCTATATGAGTATCATAACTAGGTAACTCTTAAATTTCTATGCATTCTTGAAATGGTGAATGAACAATTTGGTACAAAAAGCAATCATCCTAGTTTATTAAAAAATAAGACTAGTTTAGAATGAAAGAGCTAACCACCAACGCAATTCCTTGTTTCTCATAAAGAGAAGCAACACAATTCCAAAAAATGCAGATAAGTCACTTGTAAAAAAATCATTCCAATGACTGAATTTGTTTTAAAAAATTAGTTACAAGAAATCATAACAGAAAAATCATATCAAAATACATATGACAAATAGGGAAATCAATAATTATGAATTAAGAGGAATTGAACATAAACAATCTTCCAATATAACTTTTCTTGATAAAAAGCATCAATGTCTCCCCCAATTTACCTGCAATTATTAAACTAACCACCAGCAATTATCACATTCACACTTCAACACTTTTCTCGTGTTTGACATACATGTGATCCCCATAGAAGGCTAAAGAAAAAATCTCGTTTTAAAAAAAATACCATACCAAAAAAAAATAAAAAAATAAAAAAAAGAAGGTCAGATTTGATAAAATCCAAACAAACTATTGGTGACAAAAGATAAGAAGCAAAGCAAACTATTGGATTAAGATTAAAGGAATAGGACACCTAGCGAATAACATGTACCTGAAGACACTTCTCAATATAAAAAGACTGTCTAGTACAATTTATCTGAAATGGTTATAGATTTATTTTTATTATAAAATATGTGTCAATTTGTTTAGTACAATTTTTACCTACAACTTAATAGAATAAAAATAACTTAAATAAATTAAAAAAATTAATTATCTGAAAGTTAAGTGAAAAATATTTTTAACTTTTTGATTATAAACTTTCAATTTATAAAAGTTGACAATAATCTAATCCAACCCAAATCAATCACAATTGAAATTAAATACTCTGTGCAATTCAAATACTCCATCAAATCGGCCCCAAGCCACACCCAGTGGCTCCCTTAATTTAACAATTTACTATGTCACTAATTATTTTTGTCCAAATGGTGCAGTTTATATGAAGACACCATTTTCCATCCAATTCCCACAATCACTAAAAAAACATTGCAAATAATTTGTTACCTCAGAACAGTGTCCCGCCCTAGGGTAAGACAAGCAAGGTTTGTACCTTGGACTAAAAAATTTAGTCTAAAATAAAGCTTCCAAATTCATTAGCCTCTTACCACTGGGGGTGGTGGTAACGTGGGTTGGGCACTTGCCTTCCATGCTTATGATCCAAGGTCGATTCTCTATGGTGCGCTTCCTTGTTTTGACTTCAGTTTCTGCATTTTACCCCTCTCGAATCTCAGGCTTAGGCTGTGAATGAAGGGTGAAGTCCATTGTTATTCTGGTAGTGGGTCTCTTCGTGTGAGTTGGGGTAAATCGGGCCACACACCTGAGCTTAGGATGTGCAATGATGCCTCCAAGAAGCACATTTTTTTCTAATTCAAAATATATATATATATATATATATATTCATTAGCCTCTTGTGATATATAAAAAAATTCAAATACGCCCAATCCCTTTTATTGATTGAGGCTTAGTTTAAAGGTGTCCAAAAATTCCTGTTAGGCTCAATTTAAAACAAAAATCATTTATAAATTTGGGTAAATTACACTTACATCTCCTGAGGTTTGGATTTAATACATATTACCCCTTGACATTTGGAAAATTACACTAGAGTAGTACTAGGATGGGTGACCCCCTGGGAAGTCCTCGTGTTGCACCCCTTTTGTCCCTTTTTCCACCACCCCCCCTCTTTTCTCTTTTTTTCCCCCCCCCCCTTTCCTTTACTTTTTTTTTTTTAAAAAATGTAATTTTCTCTGTTTTTCTACTAGGAGTTGTTACCTTTTTTTATAAGTAGGGGGTTTGTGAAATAAGACTACTAACCACAGGGGTGAAAATATAATTTTCAAAACGTCAGGGGGTGGGTAGTAATTGGACCAAACCTCAAGGGGTGTCAATGTAATTTACCCTATAAATTTTGTTGGCCCAATCTGATTTTATAAACAACCTTCTTCAATATTCATTCTCCCTTAATTGAGTTTTGGTTTCATTTGATATTTAAATAAATATATCCATCATTGTTTAAAATAATTTCCATATTCATTGTTCCCTAATTGGTTACTGGTTTCATTTCAATTAAATTCATTATATATATATATATATATATATTTGCTAATAAATTATTAGTTCCAATCCTTTTTTTAGGGTATACTTTTTGCTCTTGGATTTTTTGCTTATTCTATGCGTTAATTTAATTTTTGCTATTATTATTTGGTTTGTATTTATAAATTCATTAAAGATTTACCTTGTGTATTGTTCTCCTTTGACCCAGTTATTGTCTTTCTAAGTTTTGGTTCAATCATTACTATTGTGCGTGAAAATATATTCTTTAAAATATTTAAATATATCATATTTTCTCTGTTTCAATGTGTCTTGAAACATATTCTTCGCAAATATAAAGGGTTTTTTCTGTACATAATTTGCATATCTGGGTTGATTTTTATGAATTGTGGTTTGGAATATAATTTATGTAAACATGCTTTAAAAAAAAGTAGAAGAAAGTAGAAAAATTAAGCAACATGAGTAGATTTTATCTTTAAATTATTCCCATCTTATTCTATGTAACTAAATTTTGTGTGTAACATTATAATTAATAGGGATGTAAGAAACATTGAAAAAATCGATCACATTGATTGAACCGGATCAAACCTGCTATCTTTGGTCTGTTTTTTAACAGCAATCGGTTTGTACAGTTTTTTAAATTTGATTTTTTTTTTGATTTTTGGTTTAGAATCAATCCAAACATCTTGTGCACCAAACTAAACCGAAACTGACCGCTTCAACATATATTGTATTTATAATATATATTGTGGGAGCCAAAAATATATATATATATATATATACTAGCTTATTGGGACCAGCCCAAACAAAGAAGCCCATGGGACAAATATCACACCCCTCATCTATAAAAGGGAGGGCACCCCATGAATAGAGGTATGCCTCATTTTCTCTGCCACACAGCACACAAATACTATTCATTTTCTTCATCTTCCTTCTCTGATTCTAATGACTAACTTTATCATCGAAGTGTCTCTGGTCAGCAATCCCGGTTGGGTGGCGCCAACTATGTTCATCCTTGGAGATCTACAGAAACTAAGCTCATATCTTCGTTAGATCTTTTCAACAATCCATGTGAGAGGATTTTCTGAGTCTTACAATTGGTGCTGTCTTTGGAAATCATCCGAGAGAGCTAACGAAGTAAATATCAAACATGTTACAGCTACTGTAAGTAGAAATTCAACCAACAACGCTGTGATGATGATCTATTTTATCTCTGATTAAACTTATTGTAAAATCACTTTAAAATTGGTTCTTAACTTGTATATACACACATGTCTGCTTACAAACTCTATGAAAACTTTTGTTCACTGTGAATCTTGATGAAAAAGGGTTAAATTACATAGAATTCATGTATCTACTTTTTCATCTCTATTTTCTCTCTCTACAAATGGGTCACTTTTCTTGAAGAGAGCATCTTTTCGGCAATTCAACAAAGTTGCTCGGCTAAACTCAATTTATTTATTCTATCTATATACATTTAGACTCACAAGTGGTGTCCAACCTTTCTTGAATACAGAGACTTGACCAAGTTTATAGATATATGTGTATATATATTGTTGCTTACATTTGTAGATCAACAGAGACTTGACATTCTTTCCCTCAAAGAGGTTTCGACAACACA